CATTATTTTCAACTGGCAACTTTGCTAAAGAAATTTCATTGTTTCTATCAGTTATATTTGAAATTAATACTTACTGACAGCTTACACGAAGATAACTTTTGTACTGCAATCAATTATTCTTCATCCGCCAAGCATATTCTTTTTAATTTTTAACCTTGCAAGACTACGTGGTAGAGCCATGCTGCAGCTATATTAATAGTATAGTTGTAGCACGAGTGGGTCGGCTCGACCGGGGAAGGACCACGCTCTCACAGACTACCAGCGTAAAATAGCAGCTTAATGCTGCTGTGTTTCGTATGGTCAGTATAGAGAACCGGAGACCCTTTTTACTGGAAAAGAGGCATTCCATCTTCCTCACGGCTGAAAACGCATCTGCATTTTAATTCGTAAACGAAGATAGATGTAGATTTCTATGGGCCACAGCAACCACTTATCATCAGGTGGACTGTGTGCTCGTTTGTCACCCTTATTCTATAAAAACTATTAGGTACTTTCGAGTTTAAGTACTAAGGGAGAGCATTCTAGAGGATAGATACGTTTATCCTAATTTCATTTATAGATTGAGGATTTAAGGCTTTGGTTTAAGGTAATTTGACTTGGTTGCTTATCTAAAATAAGATCTAAAAAGGACGAGCAAAGAAATATTTTTTATATATGTCGTAGGATTATTTGATAAACCGAATTTTCCGCAAAAATATAGGGATATCGCGAAAACACGGATAATTAGACATTTCTCAATCTTACTGAAAAGATATAGGGGTTTTTGTAAAAACGCTTTAGTAAAGATTGCGAAAAGAATCATTGGCTATTATAAACGAAGCACAATGTTTGGTCAGTGAGATCGCCCAAAACAATGTTTTATCTGATTGGTGGTGGATTGACGACTTGACGTTTCACTTGTCAATCCTTTCTGTCGCCCTCCACCTTTTTTCGCCGCCGGACGAGCGTATTTTATATTAAATGTTGAAGATCAAAATTTTTCTTAAATGATTTCTGAGAAAAACCGCTTTAATAGGAAGGGGGGAGGAGGAATCCTCCCTTCGCCAACGTAATACCAAAGTGTAGTCAACGGAGCCCTGCTATGCGGGGCTTCTATTTCTGGATGGTTTATAAAAAAAAATAACCACGAAGGGGATGAACGGGTCTGTCCGCTCGCTTCGCTCGCTCACCCGACCCCACCTAACTTCACCTGTCCGAGTCGGGGTGCCCCAAGTCCCGAGCTCGCTTCGCTTATATATTTGTCCTTGTGCAATTTATGTTTGTTAACTGTCTCCACGATACAGGAGAAAATCCTAGTGTGGGGGTAACGTGTTTTTTTTTAACAAAATAAAAAAAATACTAATAAATTGCATAACACCTCGGTGCATTCTACTATATACTAACTAATATCAAAGGATTCAATTTGTTTTCTCCCAACACCTAAGCCTACAGATGGGACGGCCTTAACAAATGCGCTTAACGGTCTAAATGATACAGACACTCGCAAGCGGACGTAAGGTGCACTTGCATTTAATACGCGCGTCGCATTAATTTTTCTTTCGACGTAGGCTAGTTTCACGAAGGTCGCTTCCGAGGCGTGCAAAGTATTATGAACATTAGCGACGTTCTAACTAGGTTTAAACTCGCAAGTTTGCTGTCAGAGAGGGATCCTTCAGTTCTTGTACTATTATTTATTCTGTGGTAAAACTAAGGCATCCTTTTAATTTATACACTCTTTACAAAATATATAAATACTCGTATTTATACATTTTTGTATTTATAGTATATATAAATGACACTGCAATTTCATTTATATGTAAAGATGCTGTAGTTACACAAGATTATATGAGGCATTAACTTTAAAAAAACTAGCTATGCTATTAGCATTACAAATGTGATGTAAGTGAACATATTTCCCTTTAACTACACCTGGTAAGCTTAAAATGTTTGTGTTGGGAGTGATTCACGACAGTAGTAGAATGGCGGATTCGAACCTACGACCTTTTGAGTTCGTGGTCCGCTCTCTGCCATTAGGCTACTGTCGCTTAAATGAAGGATTAGCTTTAAAGTGAACTTTACGATTTGTAATTTATTTTCACCAACACCAAAAATATATTAGTTACAAAAATGTGCCACACAGCCCAAAGCTCTAGCTTTCACCCGTCCGCCACTAAATTCTCATTTTTAAACAATTTTCTAATAAAATTAGCTGTTTTGATGTACAGGGTTATTTTACAACAACCGACCCAATTTGCAGAGAACGTTCGGAATAAGTAATATAGGCAAATGGTGAAGAAACCAATATTTAAAAAAATCTCAAACATTCTATCCTTTTTATCTTTTGAATTCAACATGCGTGGTAGCATTATTTTAACTGATTTCAATGCGCACGCACATATTTGTAAGAGCCTATCGGTAGGCAAAAACGTTGTTGCCCATAAATCACTTTCTATTTGGGATAATTTCAAATAACAGTAGAAGTGTTATTTACTCGTAATTTCTAAAACTGCTATAACGGTATGTCATTATTTATATACTTGAACTTAGGTTTGATATTCGGCTATTCTTTGAAAAATAACCCTGTATGTACCTCTCTATTTGAAGTGATATCCACTGGGAACATAGTGTTGCCAATATCTTTAGAAATTGTTTAAAAAGTATTATTGTTCACATGTTGTGCAGAAATGATCCAACTCACAAACTGGTTAAAGTAATGATTCGGAGGTGTCTATATTCCATCACTCGCACAATCCGATGGGACGAGTAATCCGAGACGACCGGAGAGAGATCAAGCGCACGAGCAACGTATTTCCGTGTTTGCAGAGGATGCAACACCACCAACTTCCAGACGCTGGCTGCTACTGAGAATTTCCTAACAGAAATACTCAATAACTCATTTTTTTGGCTCGACCTGGGATTCGAATCTCATGATTAGCGGTCGTGTTAACGACCACGAGACCAAAGAGCCAGACACTTCTTAATATGATATACATAACAATACATTAAAACTTCTGCCACAAAAAATGCATTTATCTTTCAAATTTGAATATGTTTTTTGGGTTGGATCATTTCTTCACAAAACGGTCAATTTGCATGGTAAATCATGTGAGGGTAAGGAAAGAAACAATTAGTTCAAACGCATGTCACCAAATTATATTTGCAGAATCACAAATTTGTTATCTAAGTTTAACACCAACACTAAATTAATCTATACCTTACACTAATGTTAATGTTACACAAGTTAGAATATTACAGATTTATATGTTAGTATTAGAAGCTATCAAATAAACACTGAGGGCTTCATATTTTTAAAAGTTATTTACTCCTGTATTTTACGTATTAAGAACAAGTTGTAATCGTCAAGCAAAGCCGTATCTGCAAAAAATATTTGTTATTTTGGAAAGAAGTCCCGAGCGTTAATTTAACATAATATTATCTTTTTACAAATGTAACTTGCTAATAGTTTTCAAAATATTTTTTTGTATTTCAACATCATAATCAATATAATAAAATATTTCGTTATTATCAAAAGTAGTTCATGTATAAAAACACAATAAAATATACATACAACCTGTAACTAAAATCCTTTGGTTCCCGTTTTAAGTGCGTTATTTTTAAATTGTATGTGCTTTTAATACCTTTAACTGACACGCGTGTCGGTAAAGCGGGGTCTTTGACAATACTCTTACTCCTCAGCTAATCCAGAGGTAATAAAAAAACATGTAATTTGCAAACACATTTTTATTTTAAAATAATTTTTTTGGCCGAATTTTCTGAAGTAAAGTTATTTCTATACGTTTGAATAGTGATTCTGATAGCGCACTTAACGGGAACCACAGCCTTTTTGCTACATGTTGTGTGTATGGAAGTTAATTAATTACACTTAATCATTATATTTGAGGTTTTAGATATCGTTACAATCGATAATTTCTAGCAGTGCATTGTGTACTGGAATGGATTCTACAAGGAGTATGTTTAGGTCTGCTACTATACAATGTGTGTATGGGGATTTTCAATAGCTCGTCCGTTTTATACACTTATATTTATTTTATTACGGTGAGCACACAAAAAGTACAGTCTAGCAACAAAACAATAAAACACAGTATATAAAAAGAAGAATTTACAATAGAAATAGCACTGCGTAAGCGTGAGTGTTAGGCGAGCAAAGATACAAAACACATGCAACCTACGATCTGCAGTACCGAAGGTGTAAGCGCAGCCCTCGAACCAGATTTATATTCATCGCTATATCACTCGTATACATAGAATGATGTATTTGATGTCTTGTATATTATTTTGTTTAATAATAACATATTTTACTTTAATCATTGAATAGTATATAATTTTATAATTGTGCATAAGTAATATTTTACACATTGTTAATTAAAAATTAAATAAAAATTATTAATAAAACTGCCAAAAATGAATTTATCAATCCGTGTGAAAGTTGTAGACATTAAAGTGGTGATGAGTATATGGTAGTGTCCGATTGAATCAGTTTTTGTTCGGTTATCTTTGGCCAAAAAAGCACCTTCGGCTTGGGCCAAAGTGAGCTTAAGTTTTGACTGAAGGTTACGAATAAGCGAAACTGCGATGGACGTGGTGACGTGGTGAAATTATCTTTTTATATTATGAATATAAACTTTTGATTTAAGTTTTATATTACTATTTTTAGCCAAGCTTGAACTGAATTTCTCAGTGATATTTAGTCTTCGGCTTCGGTTTCGGTCGAAGGCTGTGGCGTTAGACAATTAATCGGTTTCCATTTCGGCTAGAAATTGTCTTTCGGTCCGATACTAGTGTGCGATATAGTGTATAAGTATTTTTAATATATTTTTTTATCCTAAATAAATGCGTTAGGATAAGCGTATATAGTTTCTTTAAGTAGCATATATGTTTAGTCAAGTAGTTGTTACTGTAGGTGCATGCGTTATCGTGTGGGTGGGCGGGAGTCCCGCAAGGTGTGTGGTCGGGCCCGGCAGTGTATGATGCGTGTGTGGGTGTGGTGCAGCGAGGCGTACCGTGCGGAAGTCGTCAGGCGGGTCGGTGCGGCGGTAGCGCAGGCGGAAGGCGGCCTGGCGCGAGGCGGGCGGCGCGCGCCAGGCGAGGCGCAGGGCGGGCGGGCCGGGCGGCGCGGGCGGCGCGCCCTGCAGCAGCGGCGCCAGCGGCCGCCGCGCCGCCCACACCACGCTCTCGTTTGACTCCACACCACGAGACACCGCGCACACCTGCAAACAACAAACATATTTTTGCTCTTTATTTTCACACAAATAGTATTAACAATAACTTTACATAAACTTAACATTATCTAAAAACAAAGACAAAGAATGTCCATCTTGCATTATTAGACTTTTAAATGTAAGGCTTTTACTTGCTACCTATACATATATACATTATTTACCGCATCATATCAACATGAGAAGATAAAAATTATTAGAATCCTCTCTCGTCACGTGCATTTCGTGAAATCAAAAGCCATATAACCCTTTCGCATGAATAAATTACCAGACTGACGACGAAAAGCAGCATCAAATGTGAAAGACGATCATAACTGCGATTGTCAATACACCTGTCAAGCTTGGCGAACACAATGAACTCAGAAAGGGTCGAAGCAACAGAAGACTACTAAGCAACAGGAGAATAGTGAAAATGAAGATACTAACATTTGTATATATATATATATACGCACATACAACATGTACATATACATACATATGCATACCATAACACACATACACATACATGCATACATAATATATATTGTAGTGTTTTTTACTCCAACGAATTGAAACCTAAACTAGGATGTCCATGTATTTCAAGCCTCCAGGTCGTTTTATAAGTGGTAGAGCCATACTGAAACTATATTATGGTTAAGGACGCGTTTACAAAATTAATAGGTATAGAATCGAACTATTACATTGACACTGGTCACATACACAAGTGTACGCACGGTTAACTGCGGGAATCGCAATCAAGTATAAACATTTTGATAATTTGAAAGATTGTTTTTTTTTTTTCATATTTCTTATTACCTACAAAAATATACTTAGATACGAAATATAAATGGCTGCTCCAGAAACAGCTAGGTACTAGAAGCCATCTACAGGGAGTGAGATGTTGGCTGTGGACTTTGAGCTGGTTTTGTTAGTTATGATAACTTCAGCTCCGAACTTGGTGAAGTGACTTGAAGGTATACTTGGGTGACTGCTACTGGAAGTCCGGGACGAGTAGTACCATGTGTGCCGAGTTTGGGCTCATTATGTTAGTTATGATGAAACCTTACCTCCGGACTTGATGGAGAGACCTGATAGTGTAATTTAGTGACTACTACTGGAACTCCTAGACGAGTAGAACTAGGTATGCCAAGTTTGGGCTCGTTTTGCTAGTTACGACGAGACCTTACCTCCGGACTTGATAGAATGACCTGATGGTGTACGTTGGTGACTACTACTGCAACTCCTGGACGAGTAGAAGTAGGTGTGCAGAGTTAGGGCTCATTATGTTAGTTATGACGAAACCTTACCTCCGGAATTGATGGAGAGACCTGATGGTGTACTTCAGTTACTACTACTGGAACTCCTGGACGAGTAGAACTAGGTGTGCCGAGTTTGGAGTCGTTTCGTTAGTTATGAAGATACCTTACCTCCGAACTTGATGAGAGACCTGATGGTGTACTTCGTAACTCCTGGAAGAGTAGAACTAGGTGTGCCGAGTTTGTTAGTTATGATGCGCAGTTGCCCTTGAATTTGGTAATACCATTTATATTTTCTCCGACGTGCCTAAACTCGGCACACCTAGTTCTACTCGTCCAGGAGTTGCAGTAGTAGTCACCAACGTACACCATCAGGTCATTCTGTCAAGTCCGAAGGTAAGGTCTCGTCATAACTAACAAAACGAGCCCAAACACGGCACACCTAGTTCTACTCGTCCAGGAGTTGTAGTAGTAGTCACCAACGTACACCATCAGGTCATTCTGTCAAATCCGGAGGTAAGGTCTCGTCGTAACTAACAAAACGAGCCCAAACTTGGCATACCTAGTTCTACTCGTCCAGGAGTTCCACTAGTAGTTACCGAAGTACACCTTCAGGTCATTCCTTCAAGTCCGGAGGTAAGGTCTCGTCATAACTAAAATAATGAGCCCAAACTCGGCACACCTAGTTCAACTCGTCGAGGAGTTCTAGTAGCATTTACCGTATACTTTCAGATCACTCCATAAAGTCCAAGACGAATAGGATTTATATATATTTATATATTATAAATCCCACTTGCTTTTAGCGAAACAAAACATTATAATAAGAATTTGTGATTATAAAAATATTTATATTATGTATGTATTATTTTACTTTGTCAGGTCATGTACCTATGTATCAAAATCGAATATTTTGTGTTTGTACAGCGATCTTTTTCGGCTGCTGCAGGCGATACAGCGACCACCCGCGATAGCGGCCGAGCGCCGACTGTGGTTTCATCGAAATTTTTGTACAACAAATCAAAACAGACACTAAAAATAAATAACCCTTATTGCAATCCATTAGGATTCATCCGTATCAGCAAAATATGTCAAAAAATAAGCATCAGTTTTTATTTTTTTTACGACCATTTGTGACATTTTGATAAAAAGTAATCACCAGTATTTTTTATTGAATATGTCTGCCTACTTACAGTATTTTTAGAAATCTTAATATATGTTGATAATAGAACAAAAAATGTACCGAAATATGAGCCGGTATCGTTAATTTTGTAGTAAATGGCTAGGGAAGATCCTTTTTACAATGTAAAAAACTATGATTTTCAACAAAAAAGTTACCACCATTTGAAGATAAAGAACCATTCTATACGTTGTAGTTATTAGTTATATTTGATTTGGTTTAGTTTTGTCACAAAATGTACCAAAAAACAGCATAATTTGGCCCGATTTACAAACGCACCCTTAAAGCACGAATTATTTGTTTTCTTTTTTTTTCTTTTAAAAAACGTTACCACCACACTAGGATTTTCTCCTGTATCATGGAAGCAGTTTACAAACATACATTTGACAAGAACCAACATCCAGACCCGGAAAAATTATTTGTAGGCCATACAAATACGCGCGACTACTACTCCCGCGCATGCGCGAAGACATAGACTTTAATTTAATATAAAATAAGATATCAATATAAAATAAATATAAGAATTTAATATAAAATATCTTAATCTAAACAAACATATTTATAAATAAAATTTCTAACTAGCTTTTTACCAGCGGCTTCGCTCGCGTGCGCGTGAATTTAGGGACATCATTAAATGCTGTTCCATGTCAAATTTAGAAATATTTGATCACTTTTAGAGTCACCTTGGTGTCTATGTCTCTATGTCTGTCACAGATTTTTTTTCATTCTAAAATACTATTAGACGTAGATGACAGTCTTGAAATCAAAATGTATTATTATTACTTACATTTTACTCTTTACATATATATATTCCATAGTTAAAGTAAATTTAGTTTTAACAAAGTAATATAATGTTCATATGAGACATTTTATTCATATCATTGGTCCTATTTAATATTGATTGGCACCATAAAAAGATATAGATATTTTTATTTACTTCGAGTAGACTTGAAAATTTCATAAATACAAGTCTATAATAATGAATACCACACATGGATTAAAACTAATGTTACGGGTTTTTTACGCATCTTGACTCCTCACCGAATGAAAGCACCGAAGCTCTGGGAAGTCTAAAGTATGTAAACATGTTTAGTATCGTCCCAACCATTATATACAACAAATCCTTGCAATAGAACACCGTAAAAGGCGACATAGGAAAAAAACAGTAGATGGGATGATCTGCATCATCTTCTTGTCAACAGAACCAAATAATAATAGCTGCGGTTGCCAACCCGCCACTATAGCAAATATCCAGCTACTTGACAATTTATGGGGGAGGCCTATGTTCATTTCAGTGGACTTTTGATAGGCTGACGATAATGAGTTATACTCATCTTTGCAAGCCTTAATATTTACGGTAGAGTGAAAACATAAATTATCATAACCGAAAACACGAATGAAATAGAAACTGCATATATTGCCCCATGAAAAGTAAAAAAGCAGCTTACATACATGCTACTACTGGGCACAGGCTGTAGAGTTTTTGGCCAAAAAAGAGTTCGCTGCACTGATTCCAACGCGGGATGAACGTAATGTAAATGATTCAATTATTTACATCGTATATTCAGTAGCACTGTATTATTTCATTTTATCAATGTCTTGCCATTTTAATTTATTTAGAAGTAAGTAGGTGGCGCTAATATTACATGAAATAATGAAAGCCAAAATTATACCACCTAGTAATATCAGCAATAGAAACGAACATTTATTTATTATATCAATAAGGGATAAAGTGATGTCAATTCTCTTAAAAGTTCTGTTTCTGTTAAAAATAAGCTATCAGCGCCGCGAACGGTGAAATACGATAATGATATCGTCATATGACCATATTATGAAATAGCAACGTTGTGTTTAGTTACTAATAACTTCAAAAGATTGCTATTCATTGATTTGGTCAAGCTATATCATGACACGGTCATCAAATAGTGTTAAATACACATTCATTTCAGTCATTTTTTCAGTGTTTTCACGAAATGATAGACTACTTTATGATATATGATCAATTCTACGATCTGGCCACGACCTACATAAAAATCTCTTTAATAAAACTATGATGAAAATTTTGCAACAATTGCAGACAGACCAATTTTTATCACTTTACATATATATTAGTAATTGAAATAAATACCTTATCAATTTTCATATTTTTGATAGACATCACTATTATCTATTGAAATTATTACACTTTTAAAATAAAATAACAAAAATATTAAAAAACTGAACGTTACAATTTTTTAATAATTTTAAAGATCTAATAATTTAATCATATAAATGTAAGTTATTTATATTATTTCATTTATTAGTAAGTGAAGGCAAAATATACAACTTTTTCCATTTGATGATAGATGGCGCTGTTTTGAATACGAAATCGGTGTAGTTTCAAATTATTTTACCAAGATTATAACTATGTTTTAAACTTTATTTACAAATACGGTAATATGGTATTTATTTGAAAAACACCCGTCATTCCGCCTATAATTAAGATAGAACAGAAAATTAACATCTAAAGGAAATTAATATACTTAACCTTCCTTTTTTTAAGTTCCGTAATCGGATAAAAAGTAGCCTATAAGTTGCCCCGGGTCACTGACTACCTACATACAAAATTTCATGTAAATCGGTTCAGTATTTTTTGCATGAAACCGGAATACACAGACAGACAGACAGACAAAAATTCTAAAAACCACTAATTTGGCTTCAGAACCCCTTATTTAGTCCCCTGGACTTGTTTTTTCAAGAATATATTAGAATTACAGACACGACTTTTCTACAGATTTATTATATGTATAGATTATTTTATGGAATTCACAAATCTTCAATTTACGCAATATTTACTTTGTACGGCTTGCAGTACAGTTCAGTTGAACATAGTCAATGTTCGGAATGGCTTCTCTAGTACATAGTACATATAACTCAATGGTTGGCAGGTTTCACATAGCTTTCAAATATATTCATTCCCCATACATACAGATATCAAGATGATATCGCTCACCGCCGGACACGACAGAAATCGGCTGACGAGAATCGCACCCGAAATGCTCGCGTACTGTGAACTTTTCGGTTCGTACTTGCTAAATTATTTTTTTGACCCTATCTTATACCGAGCAAGAGGCTTTGCTATTGCTTACGTCGCCAAAATTGTGTTTTTTTTCTCGGTCAAACTGAAACACAAAAATAAAATTGGTCCCGAGATCGAGCCTTGCGGAACGTCTATATTTATTTCAGTGTTGTGACTTAACACCATTGTCTTCTACTATCTGAGTTCACATCACACCTGCAGTGAGGAAACGCAGCCAGCGTTCTTGCACGATACCACGAGGAGTAGGACTGTATGACAATTTAAGTTTTTAGTTTAAGTTTTTTTTCTCTCTCTCTTATATCTCAGTTTTACTATTTCTCATATATCTGGAATAAGTCACATTACTATATCATGAACGTGGAACGTACCGAAATTGTGTAATTCCTTCCTGGCAGTAGACCCTCAAGCGTGACGTTGGTGTTGGGAGTAGTCAACGTGTTGCTGTCTTCTTGCGAGGGGTCCGTCTCATAGTACGACACCTGTGAACGACACATTTAAATATTTACAGTTTTTAAATTCAACAACACAAAAATCTGTTTTAATAAATAACTGTCCGACCGAAGGCTCTACTTTGACTTCGGCCACCTCCGGACAATAAGCCACCTTCCATGAAACCTTCGTCTTCGTCCAAAATGGGGTTTCTAGCAAGCGCCAAAATTTTGTTTTTCAAAAACAATTCATGTTATGAATGAGCGAGGGCACGACGGACGTGGCGACGCAATTTCTATCATCTCTAGTTGATCTAGATTCTCTGAAGATTATTTAAATTACCTTTTTATATTTTACAGTCAATATATATCTTTATTTTAATATTTTAAAACATTCATAAACACTCACGCCTGGCACCCAGAGGAGTAGGTAGAGACTAGGGACTTCCATTACCACACCATTAACCATTACGACTCTCTTGCCACCTCCACATCCATAAACCTACGCATACACGCTCGTCGGTTAAGAGTACTCTTAATTTGGCCCATTTTCAATATATCGCCAATTTGGTCGATAAATTTTCGCCTAAGGCGTCCTTTCCCGACCCTGCCGTTCACTTCTGCAACAGATTTGCTTAGTCACTTTTCCTCATACATTCTTTCTGCATGACCAAACCACCGAAGCATTCCTTTCTTAATCCTGGTCACAACATCATCTTGCAATCATTCAGATTCAGCCCTAACATACTCCTTAACGACCGCATTTCTAAAACATTTATTCAACTCTCGTGCTTTTTCTGCCACACTAACTTTCACTATCATAAATTAAAGTAAGGACTAACACAGTAATATGAATTGTCATACGTGCCTTTTTGGATACATTCTGACTTTCCACAATAGATTGTAGAGCCCTATTTACTCTATTTCCTGCGTTAAGTCATCGTTCTATCATATTCGTATCATATTTACCAAACCTGCTAAATACACATCCCAAATACACAAACTTGTCTTATTTGCTCGACCAACTTCCCCTTTATTCTTATTCCAAATATCGTTTTACTTTCTTCTCTTTGAAAAACCATAACTTTTGTCTTACTTGCTTTCACTTTCATATTTCAATAGTTTGAAATAATTTATATTATTAATTTTAGCCAATCTTCGAATTGAATTTCCAGGGTTTTAAGCCCTCGGCTTCAGTCGAAGTTTGTGGCAATAGTCGATTTCATCAGCTTCGGCTTCGGCCAAAATTTGACCTTCGATCGGACACACTATAAATAGCATTTGACTGCCTTGTTGGTCTAGTGGTTGTAGTAGTGCGACTGCTGATCATGTGGTACCGGGTTCGAATCCCGGGTCGGACCAAAAAATCAGTTATTGAGTTTTTCCATCAAGAAATTCTCAGTAGCTGCCCGGAGTCAGGTAGTTGGCGGTGTCTCACCCCCGTGCCTTGGAAAGCACGTAAAGCCGTTGTTTTAGCGGCTGATCTCTTTCCGGTCGTGTCGGCTTACCGTCCCATCGGACTTTGAGAGTGAGGCAATAGAGAGTGCACCTGTGCTTGCGCATACACTTGGGCACTATAACCCTGTTCTGCGTAGATGGCTTGTCTCCGTTGAGACCGGCCGCCGTGACCAAAATTCGGTCTGCAGGACATTATTATTATTATTTTGGGGTATCTATATAGTTTTCTCATCTGGTTGGGCTGTATAAATATATAATTGTAAATGAAAATGATAAACATACATAAATATCAACAAAATAAAATAAATACATAAAAATACATAAATATATAAACACCCAACCAGATGGAAGCCCTCGGCAGGGAAGACCAAATGGCCGAAGGTTAGGGGGAAAGGGAAAGAAACAGGCGGACGATTGCGGGCGGTATCAAAGAGCACCGCCTTCTGCATTTAAGCTTGGAGCGTTCCGTGGCGGAGTCCCAGTCGCCTCAGATGACTCCAGAGGCTGACTGGGATTAACCCGTTCGCAAAAACGACCACAGGAGTAATTTCGGCCGGCACCCACATGTCGGTCACCTCGTGAGCCAGGTCCAGATATTTTGTCAGCTTATCTATTTCGGCTTTCACGAGGTTCTCGTTATAAGGAATGGTAATGTCGACCAAAAATATCCTTGACTGTGCCCGGTCCATCAGCACAATATCAGGCAAGATGATGGCCCGGTCCCAGTAGGGCCTGGCGCGGTCATTTTCGAGCATGGCTTCCGGCAAGTACTTATAATATGGCAGTTTCCGATCCACGAGACCGTATTTCAGAGCGAGCTCCTGGTGTAGAATCCTGGCTACTAGGTTGTGTATGTGCAAATACTCAGAGTTAGAAAGCGCCGAACAACCGGAGATAACATGCCTAAGTGACTCACCGGGATGGCGGCAAGCTCGACAGATGTCGACGGCGCCATCCTTTATGATGTATTTCCGATAATTGTTGGTCTTAATAACCTGATCCTATATTGCACAGACAAAACCCTCGGTTTCCCCAAAGAGGTCACCGAAACGTAGCCAGTGGAGGGAAGCGACTGTGTCTACGAAAGGCTCATGAAGAGCCTTGTAGAACCTCCCGTGGAGCTCCTTCTCCTTCCATACGGTCTCCCAGTAGGAAATGCTCTGTACTGCCGGGTCTTGCCATTGCTCATTGGCTAAGGATAGAGGAGTTAGCCCTTTATCACAAGAAATAACGTCCCTATAGTATGGATCATCCGCTCTCGTCAGAAAGTAATTACGGAAGCTGCACACTTCGCGATTATGCATGGTAAGCGCGCTTAAAAAGCCGCGCCCACCATGCTTCCGCGGCAAGAACAGCCTCATTACTGACGATCTCGGATGATGCATCCTGTGGGACGTCATAATAGTGCGGACTTTTCTGTCCAGAGCGTTCAGTTCGGTCTGAGTCCACCTGAGTATGCCAAAGGTATACATGAGAACAGGCATGATCCAACCGTTATATGCGTGCGTCTTATTCACACCGGACAAAAGGCTGTTAAGCATTTTAGTCAAGCGTGCATAAAACACATCGCAAACTGACCGTTTCATACCCGCCTCATCTCCACCGATGTAATGTTTTTTGTGACATACCCAGGTAGCCGTATGTTTCAGCCTCGGAAAGGGTCCTTATGTTGATGGGCATAGATAAGTCTATGCCCTCAGAGTTAGCAACCCTTCCCCTTTCAACATGGAGGACCGCACACTTATCCGTCCCCAGCTCCATTCTAATAGAATTACTAAAATCACAAGTGATGTTTAGCAATTCCATAAGATGGGAGCGACTGGAGGCGAATAATTTGAGATCATCCATATAGAAAAGGTGGGTCACTTTTGTCCCTCCTTTCCGAAGCTGAAATGCCCTCCCGGAGCCCTCCAGTAAGGTACTGAGAGGGTTCAGGGAAAGGCAAAACCACATTGGACTCAAATACAATCGGCCTGGAAGCTACTCCTTCTTATCCTTATGCAGCGTTCCGCATACGTCATCCGCTCGCCTAGATGACAAAGGATTGTACTCCACTGCCCCATACACTGCCCGAGGAAGTCTCGAACTGTACAGTCAACCTTGTACAGCTCGAGGACCCTCTTTAGCCATGTATTGGGCACCGAGTAGAATGCCTTTCTATAGTCTATCCAGGCGGCGGAGAAGTTCCGACGGTTGCGTTTAACCACAATGAGGAGTGGTTCCTTGGTTCCACGACCGCCGCCCCGGCATCCATTTTGAGCACGCGACATCACTTGATTTAAATCCAGGTGACGAATGATTCGCGTACTCAAAATGGATGTCAGTGTCTTATATATGGTGAGTAGACACGTAAAGGGGCGGTATTTGCTCGGGTCTGTGGAATCCCGGTCTTTAGGAACCAAATGAGTGATCCCAGTAGTGGAGGCTCGGAAGCGACTTTTGCTCGAGAGCCGCTTGAAACTGTCGGGCGAGCACAGCGTGACACACCACGAACCCCTTCAGCTAGTAGTGATGCAGTCTGTCGTGTCCCGGACTTTTCCAGTTCGTGGCCCTACGGACCGCCTCAGCTACGTCATCCGGCGTTATGATGACGCGGTACATGGGCGTAACATTCGCACACTGACTCGCCACAACTTCCATTCAAGGGTCCTCGCTGTGGTTTACGGGCTCTGACCAAAGGCCGCGCCAGAATGCGAGTGTCAGCCTGATTCGGTGCTGGGCCCGTTTCACGTACCATTGGCCGCTCCAATGATTCATAGAGCCTCTTCTGATCAAGGATGGAAGAGACGATTCTGGTTGAACCGTGTTGACCTCTCGGTATATCGCCGAATCCGCTTCCCCCAAGCAGCGATTCTCTGCTTCAGATCGTCTATCCGCTCCGTCAGTTTTTGCGTTAGATCCGGCTGGGACAAACTGATATTTGCCCCAGCAAACGCTACCCAGACGGTGCGCACAATTCTCGGCCTATTATAGCCCGACCTGAAGCTTATCAGTCTGCCGATGAGGGCCCTTGCCTTTGCGATGCGGTCCTCAATCCTTCTTCTCCAGGCTGGGACAGCGCTACTTTGCCTAGTAGCGCGTCCAGCTGTGGGAAGTTTGGCACAAATAATACGGCAAACTGCCAGTGCGGCACCAAAAAGAATTGAGTTCGTCTCGCAAAGGTCCCGGCTGGCTTCCAAATAGGTCACCAGCATTGGGTTGAGAGCCCTCACGACTGCCCGATTCCGCTTGCTTAAGGGTATGCGGGGAAGTGGCGGTCGATTTTCGAGAGGCGTACTGCGCATTTTCAAAATAGCCTCTTCCAATGTACTCCTCATTTGCTCTAGTTCTAGTTCCTGGGCGACTGTTCCATCATCGTCTGAACCAACCATTACTGAAAGATTTGTGTGTAAATGTTAAGAGATTAATTAGGTGCGGGTGTTAGTGGTGCAGTACCTTATACTCGTCCTGCGTGCTGCCGTCTGCGGGCTCCCAGCTCACCAGCAGTGCGCCGGTGCCCCTCCCCCCACTCCCGTGCCCCTGCCCCTCCCCCTCGTCCGCCTCGCGCCATCGCAATGAGCGCACCGGCAGCGGCTCTGCAACACCACACACCATACTCATAACCTTCAGTGCTTTAATTCCTCCCTCTCCTTTCCACCATCGGACAACCAAGCGATTGACGGCATTTCACCCCTTTCTTGATATTCCACGCGTTAGATACAAACGGTTTGCTTCATCTTTTGGAATGCGTACAGCAAAGGTGTAGAATAGTTTGTGAGTATCTATCTTTCTGTCCGAATACAATCTGGGCGTTCTCAAAGTAACTATGAATACGTTTTTGTTACGCTAAGACAGTGACAAATCGAGTGCGATTTACCATCTAGGGCTTCATCACTACTTACCATCAAGCGGTAGTGTGGTCAAGCATTGGCTTAGTAAAAAAAGTGCAAAACCTAATGCGCCACTATCTTCTTACATTAATCAATTATCAGAAATCGTAATCAGATCAGGCTTTTAATGTTTAAAGATAATAATTATTATAATCACTGATATTTTTACTTTCAATTCATAGAATACACATTATTATCATTTTTCACAGACTCAATTATTCAGAGGTACCATGTAACGGGTGACATGTCCTGTGCCATTTCCATTTATAATTTTAATTTGCAATCTGCCACATATTTGGTGTACAAAATATAGTAGAAATATCAGAGACCCTTTTTACTGGAAACAAGACATGTTATCTTAAATCTTCTCAGGGGTGACAACGCATTAGCAACGCACCTGCAATTCCCTGATTTTGCAGTCATTCATGGGCGGTGATCGACACTCACCACCAGGTGAGCCGCATACTCAGTTGCCTGCAGTTGCAAAATATCTACATTTTGGTTCTTAATCGAATCGAGAATGGATGACTATGGGCCACAGTATCCACTTACCATCACATGGACTGTGTGCTCGTTTATCATCCTTAAAGTATATTTAAAAAAAATATTTAAAATAATAAGCGAGCCTTATGGTAGTCGCATGTGATGTGTAACATCTTACATCTCACCTTGGTAATAAGCAACATTAATATTTTAATCTGAAAAAAGTTATATTTTAGATCAATGTTAAAAATGTTAATTGAGCAGCGACAGAAATTAAACTTAAAATTTTAAAATACTGAAACATGTATTCATTATTACTCAATTTAATTTTTTATCAATGATCTGCACTTTTTTCAGACACTTATTATCAACAGTAAATACATTTATTAATATAGTTTAATTAATATAGTTTAAATAAATAAATTAGTTTACATAACAGCACACCTTACTACCTCCGCGCGCTCATTGGTCAAATCAAATAGCGCGGGCTTCTCCAACTTCCTGATACACACTTGCGTCCCTTTTCACATCGCACTCCCACAGATTGCGGGAAAGCGAGAGGAAAAATGTTACACATCAAAAATAAAATAAACCAGTAAAAGCCAAGATCCAATTTAGTCAGAACAATGTTTCACACAGATTAAAAAAAAATATTATTTTTAACATCTTTTATCCCAGTAGATTTTCTTACCAAAATTTTTTGATTTTTTATATAAATACTTATCGTATTCTGTTAGCATTAAGCATCAATATTGATTTACCGCTACAGTTTAACAAGTCCATATATATATTTACTATATTTGCCACACTTCGCGGGCGCGTTGGCAACCGCAGTTTTTATTGTTAGTCGTTATTATAAAGACGCCGCTGCCCATTTCCTGATTTGTTTTCCGCTGTCGTCTCTCGTTAGAGACACCCGCACACTACATGGCTATAACACGCAATACTGATATGCGACCAACTTTCTGACCGGGTATTTGTTTAGTTAAACATTAATAGTTTTTAATAAAAATTAAAAATTATCATCATCATTACAGCCCTTCACAAGTCCACTGCTGAACATAGGCCTCCCCCAAGGAATGCCACAAAGCACGGTCCTGAGCCACCTGCATCCATCGACTTCCTGCATATCTTACCAGGTCGTCACTCCATCTAGTGGGGGGACGCCCTACACTTCGCCTGCCGGTACGAGGCTGCCACTCGAGAACCTTTCTTCCCCATCGGTTGTCGGTTCTTCGAGCTATATGGCCGGCCCATTGCCACTTCAGCTTACTAATCCGTTGGGCTATGTCGGTCACTCTAGTTCTACTGCGGATATCCTCATTTCCGAGTTTATCACGCAGAGAAACTCCGAGCATAGCCCTCTCCATAGCTCGCTGAGCGACCTTGAGCTTCCTCATCCGGACAGTAGTGAAGGACCACGTCTCAGTTCCGTATGTCATCACTGGCAACACGCACTGGGTGTACAGTCTCGTTTTCAAGTTTTGAGGTATACCTGACGAGAAGATGTGCCGTAGTTTCCCGAACGCTGTCCAACCGAGTTGAATCCGTCGATTGACCTCTCGGTCGAAGTTGGACTTACCTTATCGGACTATTTGTCCCAGGTAAACATACTCGTCAACAACTTCGAGCTTAGTGTTCCCAACAACTACCGGCATAGGTGTGACATGGACATTAAACATGATCTTTGTTTTGATGTTCATCTTAAGACCTATCCGTTGGGAAACACTATTGAGGTCATTGAGCATAGTGCTTAGGTCCTCCAGCGATTCTGCCATAAGGACTATATCGTCGGCAAATCGAAGGTGAGTGATGTACTCGCCATTGATGTTGATACCGTATCCTTTCCAGTCCAGAAGCTTGAAAACATCTTCCAATGCAGCGGTAAAGAGTTTCGGGGATATGACGTCACCCTGTCTTACACCTCTCTGCAATTGGATAGGTTTCGTATCTGTCTGTTCAGTTGCCTGTATGCTGTTAAATCTGTTGAAGAATGTAGCTTCATCTCCCGTCTAACAGCCATGAGATTAAGAGAAAATTATAACTTATTAAAAATAAGCAAGTGAAGGTGGATTTTTTGAGCCGGAGGAAATAGAAATAGATTTTCTTATATTCTATAAAAATTATAAATAATACTTATTGAAAGTCACGGTTATGTTTAATTTACCACTGGTTCGGAAAAAATCTGTCCTGGGAAGAACCAGCAAGTAAAAACACATTAGAAACAAAACAAATTAGAAACAGCATGGTAGTGATCACCTTATGCTCAACGGTTATTATCAACTATAAATTCCTTAATATGAAAGGAGGGGGGATACTGACTGAGGGTGAAGTCGGCGGCTGCGGGCCAGGAGGTGACCTTGCCGGACATGGTCTTGACAGTGACGGTGTAGTGCACGCCGGGCTCCAGGCCCTCGAAGGCGGCGCTGGTGGGCTCCTCGCGCGCGCGCACCACGGGCGCCAGGCGCCGCGCCCCCCCACTGCCCCCACCACTGCCGCCGCTCTCCGCCAGCGCCACCGACACCTGATACTTCTCGAACTCGCTGCCGACAGGACACGTCACAATTAACCAAAACGGACAACTTTGCCCAGCTCGAAGGACCATGTAGGTCCTTCGAGTCAATAACTTTATTAGCCATTACGAATCACTATACTTATTTTAATCTGGAATTACAACTAGAAAATGATGGTGGTGAAGATATCAGAATAAATTTTTGGAAATTAATAATCCTGATATAAATGTAGCTATCCCACAGACACTTCCTTGTCTTAACCTACCCCTGTCCGATGTAAAATTCCTATGCATAAAACTTATATTCGAGTTTCAAACACGGTGCGGTACTGCGCCGTGGTGGGCGCCTCGATCTCGGGCTCCGCAGTATACACAGTATACACAGTAGACACTGGTACCTGTGGTCGGCGGGCGGCAGCCAGGAGACGCGGAAGGAGCGCTCGCGCAGCATCCGGGGGTCCAGCGTGACGTTGCGCGGGCGCAGCGGCACGGTGCGGTACTGCGCCGTGGTGGGCGCCTCGAGCTCGGGCTCCGCAGTATACACAGTACACACAGTAGACACTGGTACCTGTGGTCGGCGGGCGGCAGCCAGGAGACGCGGAAGGAGCGCTCGCGCAGCATCCGGGGGTCCAGCGTGACGTTGCGCGGGCGCAGCGGCACGGTGCGGTACTGCGCCGTGGTGGGCGCCTCGAGCTCGGGCTCCGCAGTATACACAGTATACACAGTAGACACTGGTACCTGTGGTCGGCGGGCGGCAGCCAGGAGACGCGGAAGGAGCGCTCGCGCAGCATCCGGGGGTCCAGCGTGACGTTGCGCGGGCGCAGCGGCACGGTGCGGTACTGCGCCGTGGTGGGCGCCTCGAGCTCGGGCTCCGCAGTATACACAGTACACACAGTAGACACTGGTACCTGTGGTCGGCGGGCGGCAGCCAGGAGACGCGGAAGGAGCGCTCGCGCAGCATCCGGGGGTCCAGCGTGACGTTGCGCGGGCGCAGCGGCACGGTGCGGTACTGCGCCGTGGTGGGCGCCGACAGCTCGGGCTCCGACACCGTCTGCACCGAGATGTTGTACGCGCGCCCCGGCACCAGCCCCTGCACACACACACCTCACCTCTCACCGACACGTTCGACACCACGGTTCAAGCTACGCACATCTACCTTAACGTCTACCGCCCATTTATCGTAATAATTATGGCATTAAATTACTGCCTAAATTACCGCGTGAAGTAGTGTGGTTACACTAGAGTTTGACATATGACAATGAACTAGGCAGAAAAATGTAATTTTTCAAGATAGGTAGATGTTAAAGCTGCGTCAGTGTTGTACTATATGTGTCAGTTACTATTTTATAAATCTTTTACATTTATATTTGAAAGCTGCTGGTAATGATAATAAAAAAATTTGGAATGTTGTTAAAAATATAAATAACTTAAATAAATCAAAAGAGCTACCAGCTAAACTTCTCAAAATTGAAAATAACCCGCTAAGTTCCTATATTTGCAAAAAAAGTGTTTATAAACACTTTTTTTGCAAATTTAGGCTCTGAGTTGTCAAATAAACTTAAAACAGATCTTCCCCCTCTTTCTACCACTATAAATCCTGTAACAGTCAAAAGTAAGTCTTTAGTGCTACTTAAAACAAGTGAAGAAGAACTCGAACGTCTCATTCTTAATCTTAAGACTGATTGTGGTGCTGGTTGGGATGGTATTACTCCAAAAATTTTAAAATGTCTTAAAGAATTTATAATCCCCCCACTTAATTTTTCCAACAATTTTAAAAACATCTAACATCTAAACATCTAACAACTATCGTCCAATACCGTTACTCCCATCTATATCTAAGCTCCTTGAAAGAATAATAAACACTAGACTAGTATAATATTTAGAAGATAATTAAATTCTCTCAAATGTTCAATTCGGTTTTCGAAAGAGTAAATCAACTACGGACGCTATACATACTTTTACAGAATTTATTGTGCAAAAATTAGACTCTAATAAAAAATGTATCACAATCTTTATTGATCTACAAAAAGCTTTTGACACTATTTCATATTCTAAACTGATCGAGAAACTTGAAAAAATGGGTATTAGAAATGTACAATTACAACTTTTTAAAGATTACCTACAAAATCGCTCACAACGAGTTAGGATAGGAGCGATTTTTAGTGATGAAAGACCAATTAACTACGGAGTACCACAAGGGAGTATTATCGGTCCAACTCTCTTCCTTTGCTACATAAACGATCTTTGTCAATTAAACATTCCAAATTGTAAAATAATCTCATATGCTGACGACACCACCCTCTCGTTTTACGGTGACTCTTGCGAAGAAGTTTTCAAAATTGCACAGGATGGTTTCAAGATAGTCTGCCACTGGCTTGCTCGAAATAGTCTCACTTTAAATTCCGATAAAACCAAATATGTAATATTTTCCACTCGAAATTCATCCTGTATAACAAATAAATTTAAAATCATAGCACATTAATGTGATATGACCTCTATTTCAAACTGTAAATATCCTTATATTGAAAATACAAATAACATAAAGCACCTCGGCATAATAATAGACAAGAATCTAACTTTCAAAGATCATATAAACTATTTAGTTCAAAAAGCTTATCTACATATTTAAAAACTTAAAGACATATCGCAAATTGGAATTTAATGAAAACTGTATATGAATCGTTAGGTAAATCTATCCTGTCCTATGTCATTTCTGTATGGGGAGGCTCTAGTAAAACATTAATGATGGAAGTTGAAAAGGTACAAAGGATGATATTAAAAATTGCCTTGAAAAAACCCAGGATGTATCCGACTACGAACTTGTATGCAGAAGCCAATGTGTTAACTGTTAGAAAAATTTACACATTATCAATAATCTTAAAAAAACATAGTTGTATTGATTTGTTGGATAATATAAGGAACTCTGGTACGAGGAGAGATTATGAAGTTTGTGAAATTATTTCGGTAAAAACATTTTTTGCTCAAATTTTTTTCAGTTTTAGAGGTACTTTAAACAGTGGTGGAGCTAAGCGTTAGCTTTTGCTGACGCACGGATGGGCCCGCACGGATGGGCCAGCTCGAACCGGGGTGGTACCACGACCTCACAGAATACCAGCGTGAAGTAGAGGTTTATCTCTTCGTTGCGCTTGGTGAGTGCAGGTGGCCGGAGGCCCAATCCCCCCCCCCCCTCAACATGGTAGTGGAATTAAATAAAAGACTACCCCAGAAGGGTACCAGCACCCCTGGAGAATCCCTCGCTGAGCATTCACGACCAAACTACTTCACTTCGCGACTAATGCTGCTCGGGGCAAGCGGAGCAATACAACCAAGGCGACCCCTGTTACGTTATCCGTGAATTTTTGCAACATAAGGGGACTTCATTTCAACCTTAACGCTGTCCATTACCATCTAGAGACGGCGAAGCCGGCCTTGCTCTTTTTAACCGAGACTCAGGTGACCTCTCGGGCTGATACTTCATATCTCTCCTACCCGGGTTACAAATTGGAACACTCCTTTGTGCCCCGGGCTGGAGTTTGCGTATACGTCAGAGAGGACATCTGTTTTCGACGCCTCGGAAGTCTTGAAGGTACGGACCTTTCCATCCTATGGCTGCGCGTAGACAGCGACGACCATCCCCGCGTCTACGGGTGCCTCTATAGGTCCCATAGCGGTAATGCCGACACAGACCGACTCATCGACCACGTCCAAATGACTGCAGACTCCGTGCTACAACAGGTCCCATCCGCAGAGATCGTGATACTCGATGATTTTAACGCCCACCACGCTGAATGGCTTGGTTCTCGTTTAACCAATCATGCGGGTAGATCTGTCTATGACTTTGCTTTGGCATATGGTCTAACACAACTGGTTACTTCGCTTACGCGGATCCCAGATGTGGAAGACAATGTACCTTCCCTGTTGGACCTTCTGCTGACCTTTCATCCGGACGGATATCAGGTCTCCGTCGATGCCCCTCTGGGCTCTTCGGACCATTGTCTGATCCGGAGTACGGTGCCACTCACGCTCCAATCGCAGTTGCGATCTGCAGCTTGCCGCCGTGTTTGGCACTATAGGTCAGCTGATTGGGACGAGTAGCGGTTTTTTTTTGCATCCTACCCTTGGGGGCGGGTTTGCTTCTCGCCGGAAGATCCCAGCATTGTTGCCGATTCTGTTGCTGATGTGGTACTTCAGGGTATGGAACTTTTTATTCCATCCTCTGTGGTGCCCATCGGTGGCAGGTCCCAGCCATGGTTTGGTCGCTCCTGTAAAACAGCATCACGCTATAAGCAGGAGTTCTACCGGGCCTGGGCTGACGCATCAACGTCGCGGGATGTAAACACCAGCGCACTTAAAAAGAAGTATAACTCCGCCTCCAGGTCCTTCAAAAGCGTCATTGCCAAGGCAAGGTCTGAGCACAACGGCAGAATTGGCGAGAAGCTAGTTCGCCTTCCTTCGGGAACCCGTGCATTCTGGTCTCTCGCCAAGGCTGTTCAAGGGAACTTCTGTCAGCCATCTCTTCCATCTCTGCACAGAGAGGACGACTCACTGGCCCATGTCGCAAAGGAGAAAGCCGATCTGTTGAGCTCTCTTTTTGCGGCCAACTCGACTCTTAGATGACGGGGGGAACACACCGCCGACCATCCCGCGATGTGAGTGATCCATGCCGGATATGCGGTTTACACAGCGCTCGGTTCGCAAAGCACTCTTCTCCCTGGACGTCAGCAAGTCGAGTAGGCCCGATGGAGTCCCCCCATTGTGCTGAAGACGTGTGCTCCGGAGTTGGGACCGGTTTTAACGCGTCTTTCCCGGTACTCCTACTCCCAAGGCGTAGTCCCGAATTCATGGAAAACAGCTTTGGTCCACCCGATCCCTAAAAAAGGCGACCGCTCAGACCCGTCCAACTACAGGCCTATTGCCATCACCTTCTTGTTCTTCAAAATAATGGAATCCATTATAAACTCCCAGCTCATGAGGTACCTTGAGGATCACAAGCTGATTAGTGACCGCCAGTACGGTTTTCGTCGAGGTCGATCAGCTGGTGATCTTCTAGTCTATCTGACTCATAAATGGGCGGAGGCAGTAGAGTTAAAGGGGGAGGCATTGGCCGTTAGTTTGGACATAGCGAAGGCCTTCGATCGGGTCTGGCACAAAGCGCTTCTTTCGAAGCTTCCTTCCTATGGGCTTCCCGAGAAATTGTGCAAATGGATCACCAGTTTCCTTGCTGATTGGAGCATCAAGGTCGTAGTAGACGGTGCATGCTCTGGTTTCAAGCCTATCAACGCTGGTGTTCCACAAGGCTGCGTGCTATCACCAACGCTGTTTCTCCTGCATATCAATGATATGTTGCTAACTGGTAGCATTCATTGCTATGCAGACGACAGCACTGGTGATGCCTTATATACCGGCCGTGCCAATACTTCTCGGCAAAACGTCGCCGAGTACCGGTACAAACTTATGTCTGAAGTCGAGTATTTGTTGAACAAAGTCTCGGTTTGGGGGCGACTAAATCTAGTCCAGTTTAATCCTCAGAAGACACAAGTTTGCGCGTTTACCGCTAAAAAGAACCTCTTTGTCGTATCTCCTCAGTTTCAAGGCACTTCTCTTGCTGCCTCAGCTAGCATCGGAATCCTCAGCGTCGACATATCGAATAGTGTGCAGTTTCGTGGTCACTTGAAATACTGTTCTCATCTCTGGGCCGGGGCACCCCAGTGCCAGTTCCTTCCACTTGACCGCATCCTCAGAGCACTCCCCGTGATAGATGCGATAGAACTGGCACTGGGGTGCCCCGGCCCAGAGATGAGAACAGTATTTCATGTGGGGCCGAACTTGCGCTTTGTAAAGTTGCAAGCGATGTGCCGGCATGAAATACTGTATCGCTCTGCTGAGCACGCCAAGCTTTTTAGAGGCCAATTTGGCCTTCCCTTCCAAGTGACTACGAAACTGCACACTATTCGATATGTCGACGCTGAGGATTCCGATGCTAGCTGAGGCAGCAAGAGAAGTGCCTTGAAACTGAGGAGATACGACAAAGAGGTTCTTTTTAGCGGTAAACGAGCAAACTTGTGTCTTCTGAGGATTAAACTGGACTAGATTTAGTCGCCCCCAAACCGAGACTTTGTTCAACAAATACTCGACTTCAGACATAAGTTTGTACCGGTACTCGGCGACGTTTTGCCGAGAAGTATTGGCACGGCCGGTATATAAGGCATCACCAGTGCTGTCGTCTGCATAGCAATAAATGTTACCAGTTTGCAACATATCATTGATATGCAGGAGAAACAGCGTTGGTGATAGCACGCAGCCTTGTGGAACACCAGCGTTGATTGGCTTGAAATCAGAGCATGCACCATCTACTACGACCTTAATGCTCCGATCAGCAAGGAAACTGGTGATCCATTTGCACAATTTCTCGGGAAGGCCATAGGAGGGAAGCTTCGAATGAAGCGCTTTATGCCAGATCCGATCGAAGGCCCTCGCTATTTCCAAACTAACCAATAAGCCAATGCCTCCCCCTTGGACTCTACTGCCTTCGCCAATCTATGAGTCAGGTAGACCAGAAGATCACCAGCTGACCGACCCCGACGAAAACCGTACTGGCGGTCACTAATCAGCTGGTGGACCAAATCTGGGGATCGGGTGGACCAAAGCTGTCTTCCATGAATTCGGGACTACGCCTTGGGAGTAGGAGTACCGGAAGAGACGTATTAAAACCGGTGCTAACTCCGGAGCATACGTCTTCAGCACAATGGGAGGGACTCCATCAGGCCCACTCGACTTGCTGACGTCCAGGGAGAAGAGTGCTTTACGAACCGAGCGCTGTGTGAACCGCACATCCGCCATGGAGCACTCACACCGCGGGATGGTCGGCGGTGTGTGTGACGCAAAGAGAGAGCTTAACAGATCAGCTCTCTCTTTTGCGGCATGGGCCAGTGAGTTGTCCTCTCTGTGCAGAGATGGAAGAGATAGCATTTGGATGGAAACACTTCGAGCAGTGATCGAATTTTTTTTGAATGAAAAGCATCGCCCTTTTGCTGATTTAGAAAATAGTGAATGGCTGTGGAAGTTAGCATTCTATGTCGATTTGACAAATCATATGAACGAACTGAATTTGAGATTGCAAGGAGAAGATCAGGTTCTCCCTGATTAATACGCCAATATCAAATCCTTCAGGCAGAAAATAATACTATTTCAATCGCAATTACGTAAAAAATGTTTCACACATTATAAAACATGTGAAATATTCAGTCACACTACAGAGACTGAATTTCCCGTTGATTATGCAATCGAAACTTTGGAGTGCTTTAAAGATAAATTTTGATACTCGTTTCTCAGACTTTGATGTCGAATGAAATTAAGCTTTTTCAAAATCCTTTTGATTCTGACATTGAAACCATGGTTCCGAAGACCAAATGGAAATTATTGATTTAAATTGTAGTGATATGATTAAGCTTATCGGTTAATTTAGATGTTTACAGATCTAAATTAACTGATGAGCATCTTAAATGTCTTTTAATAATTGGTACAAGTAAAATTGATGCACAAGTACAAACCATTGTCGGTGGAAAATCACAATTACATAATTTTTTTTTCATTCATTACAGCTCATCACAAGTCCACTGCTGAACATAGGCCTCCCCCAAGGAATGCTACAAAGCACGGTCCTGAGCCACCTACATCCATCGAATTCCTGCATGTCTTACCAGGTCGTCACTCCATCTAGTGCGGAGACGCCCTACACTTCGTCTGCCGGTACGAGCCCGCCACTCGAGAACCTTTTTTCCCCATCGGTTGTCGGTTCAGTTATATGGTCGGCTCATTGCCACTTCAGCTTTCAAATCCGTTGGGCTATCTTGGTCACTCTGGTTCTACTGCGTTCTGCGTTAAGTTTATCACGCAGAGAACCTTTCCATAGCTCGCTGAGCGACCTTGAGCTTCCTCATACGGCCAGCAGTGAAGGACCACGTCTCAGTTCCATAGGTCATCACTGGGACCACGCATTGGTTGTGCAGTCAAGTTTTCAAGTTTTGAGCTATACCTGACGAGAAAATGTGCCGTAATTTCTCGAACGCTGCCCAAGCAAGTTGAATCCATCGATTGATCTTTCGGTCGAAGTTGGACTTACCTAGTCGGACTATTTGTCCCAGGTAAACATACTCGTCAACAACTTCGAGCTTATTGCTCCCAAAAACTACCGGCATAGGTGTGACATGGACGTTATACATGATCTTCGTTTTGTCCAAGTTTATCTTAAGACCTATGCGTAGGGAGACACTATTGAGGTAATTGAGCATAGGGCTTAGGTCTTCCAGAGATTCTACCATAAGGACTATATCGTCGGCAAATCGAAGGTGAGCTACTTACCTTTAAGAATAATTTGTTTGCAAGAATTGATGACGGCTTTCAAGTAGATGCTGTATATACAGATTTTAAGAAAGCTTTCGACAAGGTGGATCATGGCATTCTTCTTAACAAGATTGCATTCAACGGTATTCGTGGTAATTTGCTGCGCTAATTTGCATCCTATATTCAAAACCGTTCGCAAAAAGTTGTAGTAAATGGATATCAGTTAAGGGGCGTTTTGGTTACATCTGGCCTTCCTCAAGGATCCATTCTTGGACCACTGTTATTTATTGTTTTTATTAATGATATAGACAAATGTTTCCTTAACTCCAATTTTTTATTATATGCCGACCTTAAAGCCTACAAAACTATTAAAAATATAGAAGACTGTATAACTTTCCAAAGCGAGCTTGACAGATTGACAACATATTGCAACATTAATAAATTACAATTGAGTATTCCGAAATGTCGATATATAAACTTTACAAAAAAGAAAAATATTGTCCATTTTAATTACATACTCTGTAAAAAGTCCTTGACCAGAGTGACAGACTTAAGGGATTTGGGGATTCAGTTGGACTCTAAGGTACAGCTAAGCATCCATATTGATAAAATAGTCATACAAGCTTTTAAAATGTACCGGTTTGTAGTGAGATCTTCTGCTTCTAAATAACCCTGTACAGTAAGAAAGCATATGTTCGATCTTAATCACCGGTGCAATTTTGCATAGCTTCAGAAGTTTGCTAAAATGGTACTTGTGCAGAATCCAGATGTTACCTTGAATGCAGCCTGTGCAGGTCCGGGTGGCTCGCCCTCCTTTTCTACATACAGCTCGGAGTCTCGCGCGTCTCGTGGCTCAATCGACACCTGCAGGCGTTCAGTCATATCAATAAATACGAGCAGTATTGACAAATTAAGATTTTCATTTTAAGATATACTTATATGTAATTTAATTTAAAAATAATAGAACCTAACGTTATGCCAATATTTGAAGGATTTATTATTACATATATGAAAGAAAGAAATAAGGAACTATTTATTTGATACATTGAAAACAAATAAATATACAAGAGAAGGGGCAAAAATATATGCACGCATCAGTCTTAGACTGCTTACGCATTAACAAATAAGAACAGAACATACATACATAGTTAATAAGAGAAAAATATTAAAATTAAAATGTGATATCAAATAGGCCTCCAATTCAGCATAATGCTGCAAACGCAGCGCCGGTATTCAGTTGGAGCCTTGTGACTTCACTGGCAAATCGGTTTGTGATCCTCCAATTACGAGTTAGAGAGTAATTAATTACGTGTTAGAGAGTAATGCCAACATACATAGATAATATATATATACAAAAAAATACATTATAATATGTGCGTGCACTAACCTTGTAGTGCGTGTAGGCTCCGGGCGGATATGGTGGCTGCCACAGAACCAGCAGCGTGGTCTCATTGCGGAACCACACGATAAATTTGCCCGGCGTGTTCGGACCTGCGACATTGTGTCATTTATTTAAATACTTGCAACGGTACTAACATTACTAATATTCCCTTTAGCCACTCCTGGCAAGCTTAAAATGCTTGTGTTAGATGTGGTTCATGACAGTAGTCGAATGGCGCATCCAACCCACGACCTTTATGAGTTCGCGGCCCGCACCCTGCCATTAGACTACTGACTCTTTAAAGGGCAATTAATACATGTCATGCGCTACATTCACTTAAATAAATATGCTAAAGCGTGTTTTAAAAGAATCTAGTTCTTTAAAAATATAAAAAAGTAACATGTAAAGCATCTAACAATAAAAATAATTGCCTATGATATACAACACAGACCTAAAGGAAACACATTAACAGTCGTATTTATTTAATGTTCGATAGATATGTGAGCGTTAATAAAAAAATAAGTAAATTGTGCATTAATAATGCAAATAATTAGTGTCTGACCGAAGCTTCGGCTTTGGCCACCTTCGGCGAAACCTTCGGCTTCGGCCAAAATGGGCCCAAGTTTTGACCGAAGCCGAGGATTTCTAACAAGCGCCGAAATTGAACTAATTATTATGTACGAATAAACGAGAGCCACGTAACAAATGCAAAAGCGATTACTAATCTAGTTGACATATTTTAACAGTGGTAGAGCCACGCGGCAGCTTTTGCTGTCGCACGGATGGGCCGGCTCAAACCGGGGTGGTACCACGACCTCACAGAAAACCAGCGTGAAGTAGAGGTTTACCTCTGCGTTTCGCTTGGTGAGTGCAGGTGGCCAGAGGCCCTTTTTACTGGAAATGAGGCATTCCATCTTGGTCCTCACGGGTGACAACGCATCTACATTTTGATTTGTAATAGAGGATAGATGTAGATGTCTATGGGCCGCAGCAACCACTTACCATCAGGTGGACTGCGTGCTCGTTTGTCACCCTTATCGTATAAAAAAATATATAATATTTACCTGGTTTAAACACAAAGCCGGAAAGCATTTTTAAAATAATTGTAGCTATAACTTGCTTGTAACAACAATAAGCGTAGGCATTCAATGTTCTTTGTGTATATGTAAATTGCTAGAGATTACTCAACTCTTTCACGATGTTGATATTATCTGTCTAACATCTATCTCATTGTCGAGTTAACATACCTATAATATCCCAAACATTATTAATATTCATTAATGTCCTTAAGACCGAATTTCGGTGACGGCGGACAGTCTCAACAGAGTGTAGCCATCTGCGCAGGACAGGATTATAGTGTCAGAGTGCATGCGCAAACACAGGTGCTCTTTCTATTTCCTCACTCTCATAGACCGATGGGACGAAAATTCGACACGGCCGGGGATAGATCAGGCGCAAGAGCAACGACTTCACGTGCTTTCAGAGGCACGGGGTGAAACACCGAAACTTTCTTGATAGAAAATCAACGAGGCAGGCAACAGCCTAGTAAATCATTGTCACTTCAAATGACCTTCCACTTTTGTTAGTGTCGATTCTTTATTTTTGATCATTGACCATTATTTTTAATGAATTGACGGTTGGGTCAATGTCGAACCATTTGAATTTTAATCAACGAAAGACACGTCTAAGAATTGCGATGTCACATAATCATGTATTATTTTTATTAAACGTGTTTTCGACTAGCGACCCGCACCGGCTTCGCCGGGATAGGGTCTATTATTGTGGCATTATTTAGGTTTCAGGTAGTCAAAGACCATTGACTATTCAATTTTTCGTTCCTAGATTCTTCCATACATTGCTTTCTATCTGTTCATAAAGTTTCATCACAATCGGTTCAGCCATTTCGCATTTTAACCAGGACAGAAAAAATTATAAATGGTTATTTATATCCTAATAGCGTGCAAATAAACCCCTGAGCCTAACAGAAATCAGTTATTTCAATATTATTTATAGACACTTCAATTTCATTTATACGTAAAGATAATGAATAATAATTTAGAGTAATAATTTATAAATAACTAGCGACCCGCCCTGGCTTTGCACGGGCGATGGATAGCAGGGAAAATAACGCAGACCAATTGATTTTTATATAAAGGTAATAATGGCGATATTTTTAATCAAAAATAAAAATAATTATTTTAGAACTTTCGTATGTCAAATTTCAAATAATATTCTGAATCACAACAAAGGTTTAACTTTTGTCTTTACCAGTCCTAGGTTTATCAAAATAAAAAAGGTCTGGTTCTTTTTTGATTTCATTTGTTTGCTTTTCAACTGGTTATAATTAAAGAAAACTTTTAACCGTCACCACAGTATACTATATCAGATAATGATTATTTTATCATTAGATAATGTAGTGTGGTATATTAATTATGATATAAAAGGTAAAAGTGATTAAATCAAAAGGTGACAATTTTAGTTACAGCAATACAATAACAATAGAATATATTCTTAATTTTTTACTTTTTTTAAAATAGTTTGACGGCTATATTGTAATACGTACGTAGTACTCGTACAAGAACTTCTTAGTACAAAAAGTAGTTTAAAATTAGCGCCTGATACAGAAGTCTTTATTATATTTATCCTATTTCAAACCAGCACTTAACTACAATCCCACCTGATGGTCAGTGGTGATGTAGTCTAAGATGGTGAAACGCACAGACTAAACAAAAACCTTGAAGACACCCACATTGTAATTGGACGGAAAGACAGATGCTGGCAACTTATTCCACTCATTTGCTGTACGCATGATGAACGACGTGGCGAATCGTTTGGTTCGGATGCGTGGTAAGTCAACAACGAAACGGTGGAGACTGACCGAGAGTCTGGTCGTCCGATGGTAGGAAGGAGAGGAAGGAATTAAGTTATGCAATTACTGTTGACACTCTCCGAAATGCATCCTGTAGAAAACCGAAAGGCTGGCTATGTTGCACCTGTGTTCGAGGCTGCTAAGATTGGTTTTGACCAGATTCGGGTCACCAATAAGCCTCTTAGCACGCCTTTCCATTGAGTCTAAAGCTGCTAGGTGGCATTATGCACCACCAGCCCATATATGGCAGCAATATTCCATGCACGACCGGACTATTGCTTTATATATAGAGTCAGCAGCTGTACCGAATAATGGAAGTCCCGTGAAGAATATGGGAATTAAAATAAAAGTAAAGATTTTGCAGCAAATGGAAAAATTTACTGTTCTTCACCAACATATACGCAATGTATACGCAATGTGCTTTGATACCTAAATATACTGTAGTTGATTAATTTTTAATCTCGTTAAGCTAGAAAGAAAAATAATATTTGTTCAAAATTTTTATGACTCTAAAATATATTTAGAACATAAAATATAAACTGTTAACACTTTATAATACATTGTCAGTGCTAAATTTTGACACAACAAAGAAGTTGAAAGTGATCGCGCGGTGAGGTGTGATGATTATGTAACACACGTTAAATGTTAAAACTACAATTTAAAGAAAACCTGTGCAGATGAATACATATTGAAGCGAACCATGCGACTATATCATATAAGCAAAAACAATAACAATTTTATGCATAAAAAAAATATTAACCACTTTATTAAAACGGACTAAAAAGTATAAAATTCTTTGTTTTTTTTTCATATTCTTACATTGTCAAAATTTCAAGTCTCCAGCTCATGAAGAAGTTAGTTTAAAATCAATTACTAAATTCCACACATACAGACATACACGAAAGCGAGTTAATATAAACGTGATAAAAAGCAACGGAACACCACGCCCGCAACCCTCGATCTGCGGAGTTGTATGAAATAAGATTTTTCAAATTTAACAATAAAAATTTTAACTCTTTTTTTTAATATTGTAAGCCAGCGCTGTATTACTATCCCACCTGACGGTAAGTGATGACGTGAGTAGAAGATGGCAAAGCGCACTGACTCAACAAAAGCCTATTCACTCTTGCCTTACTCCATAACGAACAGCATTTTTAAGAAAAAATTCTAACAACTGATTTAAGACCACTGTAGGACGAATAATATTGAACAGTTAATTTAAATGAGGCCAGTATGTTAATAATTTATGAGATAGATCAATATACATTTTTTTCATGCTAACTTTACGAATTAGTATCAAAACTTTAGATATCAACATAACGTTTTAGCTGACTTCAAAAATGAGATTCACGATCCGCATGCATGTTTTTCTTTTGTATATATATATCGATTTCTTCGCCAATTGAGATCCGATTATAAAGATAAATTTTTTATTAAATAGGTTTTACTCCAGAGATGGTCCCGTACAACTAAAAAATATTTTAGTTTTTTGGAACCGGCTTTTAAATTTTGTAAAATGTTATATTTATTCATAAAGCACACACTTATGAAGTCTTCATTTCAATATATCAACTCATATTTTTAAAATAACAAAACAAAAACATCGTTATCTTATTTTCTAGAACTACAATGAAGAATCTCCAAAATCACGTCTCGCAGTTCGTAGAAGCCTTACCACTACTACATTTACATTTGACAACAATAAAATTAAATCTTAAGCTATAAAAATATCAATTAAGGAAACCGCTATGATTCATCTCCGATAGTTTAAATTCGATATTGCCCTAGAAACATCAGGTTTTCCCTCGTTCGCTTCGTCGAGAGATGAGCGCGGGCGATGTTCCGTTACTCTATTACACACAAAATTATTGTTGCAAGAAGCAAGCACATGCTGTGACATTGGGCGCTCACCGTACACCTCCTACACGCTATCTGACAGCACAGGGAAGGAAATAAAAGTTCATTAATACATTCCATAACTATTCTTACATAAGTAATAATAATGTTCTTCAGACGGAACGTCAGTCACGGCAGCCAGTCGCAACGAAGACTAGCCATGCGCGTAAGACAGAATAATAGTGCTACTCTTTAATAGTTCGATGGGATCCAAATCGACACGACCTGAGAGAGATCAGGCGCAGGTCCAATAGCTTTGCGTGGTTCCCGAGGAGCGGGGCCAATCGCCAACCTCCTAACTCCGAGCTGGTACTGAGAATTTCTTGACAGAAAACCCAATAACTG